GTGATTAAGGTCTTCATTTTCTCTTCATGCTTGAAGCTGAAAAACATGGGTATTAATGCTTACTCAACATAGATAAGTGATAGATGATAAATGATATATTATTTTTAGTTCTGTTGTAAATGCATAAACCAAAAGTTGTAAATAACAAATACAAAGTTATGAATATAAGAACAATAGTTGTTATTGAATAAAACATAACAGATATATGATCATGATGTTTAAAAAATAACCATGTTGATGAGTGACTATTTCATTATTTCATGTTGGCATGAGAAATGGCTTCTTCTTCTTCTAGTTTTGGAAAGGAACTATTTTGTTATTTCCACATAGGGGGACATGTTGTAAAAAATATTGAAGGTAAAATATAATATGATGGGGGGAGTGTAAGAGTGAAAATGATAAGAGAAGGGATGACATTTGAAGAATTCAGAATAATAATATCATCTTATTTTAGCATTGACATTAATTTGAGTAACATGAAATATACTGTGAAATATGATGAAATGACCCTTATAGACCTTGTTGATGATAGTGGAATTGCTAGCCTATTTGAGCATAATGTTGGAAGTAGTCATGTATATATAGGTTGTAAAGGAAATGGCAATAGAGAAACAACAATTGAGGAAGCACTAATGTAAGTTACTATATTTAATTCCTCTAAAGAAAGTTGTCATTTGCTACAGTATAGTTATTATTTTTAGTAACTGAAGTTGTAATACAAGTGTAAATGAGACATGAAGTTGCATGGATTGTGAATGCAAGATGAAGCAATTCTTGTTACTTTCAAATCCAAACTCTCATTCTCCTCCTATTCAAGATCATGATTTTGAACATGTAGCCTTTAAAAGCGAGGTAGAATATGTAACCTACCAAACTTGCGGAGAACTTCTAACATTACCATGTGGAGTAGAAAGTGCACCTACACTGATTCTTAGGCTTAGTTTTTCTAAGTGGAGGGATTTGTTGTCAAGTGTAGGACAAACCTTTTCCCATGCTAAAGCCTTTAGAAAAGAATTGTACAAATATAGCATTGCCCATAAGTTTTCATACAAATATAAGATCAATAGTACAAAGAAGATGAGAGTGATATGTGACATTGAAGGCTGCCCTTAGAAGATCACAGCATATACAGTAGGAAAAGAAACTTCATTTCTACGTGTGAAGAAATTTAAAAATAAGCACATATGTTATCCCAAGACAATTTGATTATTACCTGCAAGGGAAGTTCAAGTCTAACATCATGTATTGTACTTGAGGATGTGAGGTCTCATGTAGATAAACATCCTAATGACCTTAGGAGAGAGTTGCAAATAGAATATAGTGTCAATCTAACCTACTGATAAGCATACAGAGCCAAAGGGAAGGCATTGGAAGAGATCTATGTAGACCTGACAAATCTTATATGTTAATTACATAGATTTATGACTCGCTAGTGGAAATGGACCTAAAAATAGTTGCTAAGGAGGTGACAGCTGATAATAATAGGTTTGAGCGTGTCTTTATAGCTTATGGCTATTGTATAGCGGGGTTCATGTATGGTGCAAGACACATATTATACATAGATGGTAGTCATCTAACATTAGCACTAGCATTTAGACATAAAAATATTCCCAATGTGTACAACAAAAATAAAAACTTAAAGTTTTCATCCTCTACTCTAGATTTAATCAATGCCAATATTTTCTTATATGGCATTTCATAATATTTCCTTAACCTCAAGAATGCTTTGTCTTGGTCATCCACCTCTATTGACACCCTATTCCCACCAATGGGTAATCCCATCAATGTGTGAACATCTACTTTCATTTCTTTTGACTTCCCTTTAATGCAAAATTGACGGGTTAGTGGATCATATGAAGATATTAATTGAAAATAGATGTCTCGAGGGAGTGTTTTCCATTAGATATCAAGAAACACACCAAACCCAATGTTCTCTACCCTTGTTCTTATGTTCTCATTCCGTTTCATGAACTCCGCAAGTTCCATAAACTACCTCACAGAGCACCTTGTGTGAAAAGGAACCTTGTATTTATTTCCTCCATGTCTGTTAGATTTTAATTACCTAACCTTTTCAACATACTTGGCCTTTTCAGCCTTTGGCAACTCTTCCTACGCCTTTTAGTTCAAGTTTTATTCTATGTTTCAGTCTCATTTTCTTAAATTTATCTTCATTTTCCTTTAAAATGTCCTTCTTGAAAAGACTTAACGTATTCACAATTTTCCCTATCCTAAATTATATCCATGCAAAGAAAGCTTAAACATAATTACTGCATTAGAAAGAATATACATAACTTATTGCGAAAGTGCTTTCAGATCCAATCAATTACATATGCAGATCACATACATTTTTGACAAAATATATAACAATGCTCAACGAAGTAAGGACTGAGGTATAAAATTTCCATATGCAAAAACATAAGAGGTCAAAAATTATAATCAAAATAATGAAAAGACTTATCTTGCAGTTGACTTCAAACTAATCATAAAAAAATAATAAAAGTAATATTGAAATATATAAAAGTCTTAATAACAAAATCATCCAACTAATATTTATCTAAGCAAAGTCTCAAAAAATTACTTATCTTTTTAATGTCAAACAAACAAATTAAAAAAAGATAAATCATAAGCAAGTTTTTTACTTATGCCAATATAAGCCGGTTCACTTTTTAACCATTTTTAAACATTTTGGTCAATTCAACTGGCTGAATTGATCAAATACTCTCCTTTTCTTTTATAAATAAGATCACATTCAATAAGGATTACCAACTAGTTACTAATAAGGATGATTTCAATCTCACCATGCTTACTTGAAAAAATTCTGACTAATCACTATATCCCTCGTATCTTCCATTGCCCTTTTTACAATGACAATGAAGAAACAATGGATCACCTCTTCCTACATTGCCATTGGTCTACAATAGATTAGTTCTTTGGGCTTCTAAACATTAAAACTGATTACATCTTTATCTTTTAACAATTAGGTTAAAAAGTTGCTATCTAGAAATTAGAATACATAGACAAGGCAATTTCAAATTTTGGACAACATGACATGGTAGGAAAAAAGCATAGCACTCTATGAAACTGTATAGCAAAGTATTATCAACAGTTGATCCTAGATAAATTAGCTAACAATTGAAACTGGTGACAACATTCAAAGGCATTTGTTAACACTTGCATGAAACAGAGCCACAGATATCATCAACCCTAGCTATATGAGGTTGGGTAGATTTTGAAATGCATTTGTGTAGTTTCATTATTTTCTTTGTAATCCTAATATACTGATCCTTTTCTGATAATTTATTGATCCCATTTTCATTCAAAAAAAAAGAAATCGAAGGTTCAGCCCCACAATTCCACAATTACTGAAGTGAAGAAGATAAAAGAGGAAGAGTGGGAGGGAGGGAACCAGAGTCAAGTGAAACTGGGGAGAGAGGGAGAATGGCAATGACGACAATGAATCCATGAACCCACGATGGTAGAACCACTACTACCAATATTGAGAAGCTTGAAGTTGCTGGAGGTGAAGCGAGAATGACTGTCAGGCTGCAGCAACGCTGTGACAGCGAGACGACAATGGAGGCACACGCACCTGAGACACGTGAGGCCGGATGCACCGAAGATGACATGCAAGGACAGTCTAGACAAAGCATAGACGAGACACTAGGATAGGAGAAATGATGTTTTTTCTTTTAATTTGAACGAAGGGCAAAATCATCATTTTCTCAAATTTTTTAATGACAAAAACATCCCTTGAGACCCTAGGGGAATTATACCATTTTAAGGAACTCTATGTCAATTAGCTAATTTAAATGGACTTTACTATCATTTTTCATTTAAAAAATACATGACTGTTTCGGGAAAAAAAATACATGATACTATTGAGAAGCACATCTCAGCTTTCCTATGTGTGTCCCTTGACTCTGCTGTTTCCAGAGAATATATGTGAATGGTCTATATTTAATGACTTTTTAATTTTTATCTATATTTATTAAAATAAAAAATTTTATCAAATTTGTAAGAAATTCAATTAGCCTAATCATTAATCTGAATTGTCTAGATTTATATTACTCATATATTTAAATCATTTATTTAAATGTGGAAAAAAATAATCAATTTATATAAATTAAAAAATTAATATTAAATTAGATTGTTCATATTAAATCAATACTTTAATAGTGAACATATTTATTAAAATTTTTTATTTATTTTCATTTTAATAAATAAAAATTAAAATTAAAACATTAAATTTAGATTATTCTGATTAATCAGACAGCCCAGGGTAAGGCACATGCAGCAGAGGAGTGTTCCCCCCCCCCCCCCCCTGTTTTTGCCCTTTCGTTATTATATAGATTGGATTTGCCTAAATTTTATAAATAAATAAATAAATATAAAAACACCCCATTTTTCGTGAATTCCTTGTTCTGTTCCTTCCCCTGTCCCTCTTGTTGGCCCCACACGCGAACCACCATCGATCACTGTACAAGTACCCGCCAACTTCCACACCATCCATTCTCACTTTTCTTTTCACCAGCAATCAACGCTTAGCTTCTTCTTCATCTTTACTTTCATGTCATGCCTCAACGAACTAGTCCCCGCCGTATGTCAAATTCATTTTATTGCTGAAATGTAAATTTATAATTTTCTGTTTTATTCTTATAATTTTATAAAAAAATTATAATTATCTAAACAAATTTTACGATTAGCACTTATTATTTATTATACGTTAACAGTATAATAAATTAAAAATAATTTAATTATTTATATTAATTTATTAATAATATAAAAGCTCTTAAAAATTTTGGTATAATTATTCATTTTAGAAGATCGAGTTATTATTTATATAATTAAAAAAAATTAATTTTTTTTATAAATATATAAATATAAAAACACCCCATGTCACCGATTCCCTCCCTGTTTTGTTCCTTCCCCTGTCTCCCTTGTTGTCCCCACACGCGAACCATCATCTATCACTATATAAGTACCCTCTCCAACTTCTACACCTTCCATTCTAACTTTTCTTTTCACCAGCAAAACTAACCTTCTTCTTCTTCTTCTTCACTTGAGTTCATGCCTCAAAGAACTATTCGCCACCGTGCTCCGGCTACCTCCGGCCGGAGAAGTAAGCCTCCGCACCATCCATTCCATTCCCCCAATCGTCGGACTCCTCCGCGCTCCTCCAACAAGTCAAAGCCTCTGAAGATTCTGAAGCGGTGCTCATCGGCACCCTTACTTCTCTCCGATTCCTCCTCCATCGCCGCCGACGGAGATCACGATCTCGATTACGATTTCCGGCACGAAAGCATGCTTCTCCGGCCTCAAACTTTCTCTGCTGCCTTCGAGTCTTCTCCTTCCCTCTTACCTTCCTCCCCTCAGAATCACGAGGTATGTGTGGTCTCCAATTTTTTCCATTTATATTATTTTATGCATTTCTGCTTCAGTTTTATATTTTCTTATCCCTTTTTATTAAAAAACAAATTATAGGCCGACCAAGATGGGATCGGATTCTAGATTTATTTCTTAATCCAACTTCTTGACTTTTAGTTTACTTTTTAAGGATGACTTTTACTTAACTTCAAACCTAGCCTCTCACGCAATCGATGAGCTCGATGATTTTATAGGATTGGATTGGGACTCGGCTAAGGATGAATTTCATAAATGTTGACTTTATTATTATTTTTTTTACATTTATTAAAATAATTTTTTTTATAAATTTGACGATTTATTAGCTGTACAATTTAAATTTAATATGAGTTATTTAAATTTAATAGTAAAAATTAATAATAATTATAAAAGATTTAAATATTAAATCTAGTAAATAAATTTATTAAATTTCTTAATAAATAAAAGACATCAAATCTGAACTATAAGAGCTCCCTGAGAGGCTTCTCTCAGCTGAGTTAAGCCAAGTCCGATGGATTAATTGCTCTGTCTTGTCTTCTTTTTTCAATATAAACGGTAGAACAGAACATTGCTGGGCAACACAGGACATGTATGGTAACATAATTTGTCTTCATTGACAAGACGTTCGTTCCTTGATGAAGAAATGGTATCTAATACCTTCCTTAATTGACGCGGAAATGGTATACTCCGTTGGTTCCATAATTGAGCTGATTTTTGTATGGTCCCTTGAATATGGAAAGACTAGTAATGAAGATAACAGTGGTAGATTGATTTCTATATGTATTTAGGATGAACAAAGTGTAACAAACCCTTGAAGCTAGGCCATCAGGGAAGCATGTGTGTTATCAATTTGTTAGGAATGGAAATAGATCATCCAGAAAGGGGAGAGAACAAATGGCAAGGAAGAGGGGATGATGATAAAGGCATATTATGTATAAGATACTTTTAACCTGATCATGTAGATTAAAAAAGGTTATTAAAATTAGCTAAAAGTAATTGCAAATGTGATTAAAATTAATTGGAAGTCTTTTTGTAAAAAAATTCTATAAAAACTTCAAATTACCATTAATTAAAATTATTAACTTTAACTTTAAATTTTAAAGTAAAACTTAACATCTAAAATCCCTTTTAGTCATTAAAGATGTACAGAATGGAATGAATTAAAAAAGATAAAAGTAAAAATGAAATAATGAAGATGAATAGTAAATAACATTTTTAAAAGAGAGAGATAATTTAATTCATGAAGTTAGAAATCATTATTTATGAAATTTTTGAAAGATGTGATGATTTTTACATTTGTAATATATATAAATAAGTTTTATGACAAAAGTTATTTAGTTCATTTTTATGTTGATTTTGTTAATCAATTCCATTCCATTCTTTTTGAATCACTAAACGAGACATAAATGAATCAATTGGCTATATAGACAGTTTTGGAAGTAATTTGTTAATGCTTTGTCAAATTATATGAAATGTCTTATATTAACAGCCAAATAAATTTTTTAAAATATGTCTTATATTTAGGTCATTAAGATCCTTTGGAGTGAATATTAGTTGTTAAATTTAATTTTATCTTATACGAGACCTTTTACATTAACTCAAGCCCACTAACACACATTTAATTGTCCCTGATGATGCCTCTTGAAAGAGATTTTTTTTTTTTTTTGGGCCAAAATGAAAGAGAATTAAGTTAACATGTTGCATATGCAGGGGTTCAGAAAAGAAGCGAAAGTGGTGGTCAGTGTGACCGTTGACGGAAGTCCAGGGCCAATCCGAACCATGGTTAAACTAGGGTCAAGTGTGGACGACACAATAAAGCTTGTAGTTAACAAGTACAGTGATGAACGCAGAACGCCAAAGATTGATCCTAATGCTTCTGCTTCGTTCCAATTGTATGATTCCCATTTCAGCCTCCAAGGTAATTAAGAGAAATGCTAGCTCAAGCATTTGTTAGAAAACTAAGTAGCTATAATTACTCTTTCCAATGCCTATTATAAAAAACTTTTAATTATTTCATGAGAGTTGAGAGAGGCTGTTGAATTATTAACTTTCTTTGAAAATAAAATATACTTCTAATTTTAGTCTTGTTCAAATAATTTTTTTTAAAATTCACATTGTATTTTCTCTCATACTTGATGAGTTTAAGTAAAGTTAATATTGGAAAGACATAATTAATATCTCATAGTGTATCTTATACTCCTTTCAGTCCAAAATATAAATATTTTTTCTCAACTAATCCTGGTTTAAAATATAAACAACTTAGTACTTGTAAATTTTTTTTTGTTTTATCCCTTGTATTTGTTAATTTATATATATATATATATATACCTCTCACTCATCATAGAATGCATTGATAATTAGGAATAAGAGTTAAAAGGAAAAACAATATATATTTTTATAAAATTGAAGACTTTATTAGTATGTGAATTTTTTTAAAAAAAACTGCTTATATTTTAAACCAAAGGAGTATTAAAGATCAACAAATACATAGAAGGAGTACTTTGGACTCCAATAATTACCAAAAACTTGTTTTGTTATTGGTCAGGTTTGGACAAATCAGAGCTCATTGGGGATGTAGGTAGTAGAAGCTTTTATCTGAGGAAGAGTAACAATGAATCTCCTTCCGGTTCATTTCGTTTAGAGACTGTGACTGATCCATCCAAACAAGGCTCTGATCCATCCAAACAACCACCAACACATAATCCAATGTTGTTTCCTTGTTTCAAGATTAACAAATTTGTTAGAAGACTCTGCAGGATCTGGAAGATGGTGGTTTGCTCCAAATGAAGTAATTTCACTTACTTTTGATTAGATTACTTCAACTTTAATTAGTTTGGACTCAAGCAACCATTTTTTCTGTTGCTCGAGTATTTATTCTGATTCATTGCTTTTCTTTGGTTTTGAGTGAATGAGCTGTAAATAGATGGTAGGATATGAGGAATTGTGTTTCTTCTCAGTGGCAAGTCCTCAATTGCTTAAAATAATGATGCTTAGACTTGTAGCATTCAAAGTACTAAACGGAAAGTTCAAGAAAGCTTTGAGCTCATTGATGGTGCTCATCCTATTAGCTTCGAGAGAGGTATTTTAACAGTAGAAATGCACAGAAAATATTTTTATATTTGACATAATTTAGTCCTTTGAATAAATATATGTTTATAATTATTCTACACTTATTTCCGGCTTCTTAATTTTTGAACGAGAAAAGTATTGTTATCTTTCATACTAAAGTTACTTACATATGTAATTCAATTTAAAATAAGCTATTATAAATTTTTTTTGAAAAAATAAAATATTATAAAGATACGTACGTATATAATTCAAGATTTCAAAGACATTCTTTTCTAAAAAGGGACTTCTTTTGATTTAAAAAAAAGGTAAAAAAAAGATTCTCTTATAAAAAAAAAGGGCAAAAAAGAAAACTCTGAATAATTAGCATCTTTACTTCCCCTTTCTGGTAACTTTAGGATTAAGCAATTTGGAGTATTTTTCTCCCGTTGAAAATAGAAGTTTTTTTTTTTAAGTAAATCATTAAAAAATAAGTTTTTTTTTTCCTTACAATTAGAAGGAAGTGTACAAATAAGATGTTAAAAATTAGATTGGTCATTAGATAAGTCAAGAAGCTTTGATTTAAAGGTTAATAATCAGAATTGTTATTGAATTGTAGCAAGACTGATAATTAACAAATCATTTTATCGAATTGATTAAAACATTATTCAACAATTTACTAATTTAACCAACTGAATTGACTCGTGTTTTAATATTACGTGTACAATAATGGATTTGATGCACTTTTTGAATGGAGGGCACCATGCACATTCCTTAATATTAATTAACTAACATACTATACATTTTTAAAGGATGATGTATAAGAAATACTACTAGATAAAATGGGAGGTTTTATTGATAAAATGACAATAATAAAACTTGTTACATAAAGAGCGAATGTGATCATTAATTTTTTTTGGCCTAAAATCATGATAATTAATTTTACCAGGAAGACAAACCACACAAAAGACATTAAATGCATATTTGTAAGCAGTTAACCGGGTAGCTTTTAACGTGAAATCGAAACACATTAAAAAAAAAAAAAACTTCAATAATTTCTTCTGAGTTTAGTCAAGCAAGCACCTGCAAATGCCAAACGGACCGTGTACTATAGTTTTAAACAATATTATTGATATTGATTAATTTAAATTTGTGCATTATCTAGCCAAACAAGGAATAGCTCTAATAACATGCCGTGATTTTTTTAATTAACAAGATCACCAGATATGGATTGGGCCAACTCAATTTGGGCCAATTTTATTTTAAAATTTTGCTTTCTTCTGCTATCACCAAATATGAATTGGACTAACATGATTGATCTTATGCCCCCAGTCTCTCTAAGTTTTTGCTGGAGGTTAAAAATGTATATATAGATGAGTTCATTGGCTCGGGGCAAAAAAGGAAAGAAAGATGGGTTCATATTTTATAAGACATGCATCAAAGTAATCAAAATTGTGAATTTAAGTAAACCCATAATAACCACGTTAACTCATAATATAATCTCATATCATAAATTTGTAAGAGTCAACTTCTAACAATTAATATTATTAAAATAAATAATAACATTCAAAACATAATATTTTAAGAATCAATTTTACCTAAATATTATCAAAATTATAATAATTAAAAAAATACACACACATATATATCATAATTCATAATTATGAATATAAAATTAGCAATAAGTTCTTAAAACAAAGCCATTCAACCTAAATGCTTGTAGGGGGGAGTCATTCAATCTAAACAATAATAAAGCATGTGAATCTATATTTAACAAAAATCTTCAAATTCTTCATCAACATCATCATCTCCATCTATGTCACCACCATTATGATTATGATTATCAATATTTAAATCAATTCTTCAATTAACTCAAAAATGATCATCAAGCTCTACCACTCTCATGAATAGAATTATTAATATTCTTAGTGTTGGGTTATCCATCTTTGGTGAGTCAAGCCCAAAGATAAGCCCACATTATGAAATGGGGCCTTATCAAAATATTGAGAAGGTTTGGGTTATTATGTGCAATAAAACAGGGCACATGAGTGTCTTATTTCCTCATTGTTTTTTGAATTATGTGAGGGAATGATTTTTCCCACTAGAAGTTATGTGTATGTGTGGGAGTTATATGAGGGATGAGTTAACCATCACTTTGGACATCACAAACAGAAGCATTGTAACCATTTTATCTCTTCTCTCCTCTTGCTGTGAACCATAGATAGAGTTAGTGTAACTCTATTCATTTGCATAGAGTATTATCTAGTACACAAACAGATATGTTTTCAGACTCTATAAACTTACATTGGTATCAAAGATGTATTAAATAGTGAGATGTGTTTCTATGACTAAAGAAAGATATGATTTGTTTATAAACATTACATGCAAATCTACTATTCTTTTATGTTTTTTCTTTTATTGTATAATTGTTTTCTATCTCTGATCCATTTTTACATTTTTGTTTTTGAGTTATATTTCTTGGGTTATATAAGTTATATATGTTGATACCTATTAGCTGCTTACATTGTGCTTATGTATAACTCTGGTAATGTTAAACTGTATAATGGAAACTAAAACTTGGGTATATGAAAACAACATTTTTAGAGAAAATGGAAGCCATAAATGTGTAGAGTACTAAAAGAAGAAGAAGAAGAAGAAAACAACATCAAGAATGCGTAAAATAGCCGTCGGATGGTAGAGATATGGCTCTTCAAAGTTTTGGGTCCGATAACCTGACCCGATAGAGAATCGAGTCAATGTGACCCAACGAGAGGTTGAAGATGATTGAAATGATGTCATTTAAGTCCTCTTAAAAAACAACTTTGGTTTTAGGCCTTACGCCATTTTGGGGTGAAATAAAAAAAATTGCACTGTTAAAAAAATCAAGCTATGAAAAAAAGGCTTATGTTAAAAAAAAGGGTTGTGTCAATGATATAGACTGCTCAAGCCAAGTCAATAGCCCGATCAACCATTTAAATAAAATACTAATATATTATTTAAAATTAAAAAAAGGAAAAGTGTCAAGTGGCAAGTCGAACTAATGGAGGACCTAATGGACACATAGACCACACTAATAGAAAGGTCTTGGTGAGTGGATTTCAAAATGCCAACATGTATTGTTGTTCAATCCCTCTAAGGTAGCCTTGTTTGGTACATGCTTTATCATTGAGATAGGGTGAATATGGTATACTTTCCTATTTTTCTAGAATTTTTGATCTAGACTCATTATAGAGGCTTATGGAGCATCCAATTAAGACACAGTTTGTTCCTAAAAATCTATAAATTTGAGATCTATAGTTTGATATGTAATATGCTTATTTTTAGGAACATGTGGATCAATTTAAGAGACTTTGAGTTCTTATATAAGTGAATTTTAATTATTTAAAATCATAAAAATAATTATAATTATTCAAATTATTTATCATATCGGTAAATATGAATTGTGAGTCCACTAGAAGCATTGAAATGTTGGAGAATGTCTCTCTAAAATTATTTATCCTAGGCAACAGGTATTTGTTATTCACAGTCATCTTGTTCAACTACCTATAACCTATGCAAAGCCCTATATTGCTATCATTCTTCTTAATAACCAATACGAGTGAACCCTAAGGTGACACACATTGTCAGATAAACCCTTTTTCCAATAAATCTTCAAGTCATTTCTTAAGTTTTGCCAACTTCGATGGAGAAATATGATGAGAAGCATTTGAGATTGGCTTAGTTCCTGGTACCAAATCAATTGAGAACTCTACTTCCTGCTCAAGTGGCAATCTAGACATCTCTTTAAAGAAAACCTCATGAAATTCATTCATCACCCCTATCTTGTCAATACTTTTACCATACATGCCTTGCACAAAAAAGAATACCTTAAATGCTTGACAACCCTATTAAATACACTGCTTTACTTGTACTACAGATAAAAATTTTGATTGACTAGGAGTTATTGCAGGTGCCATATATACAAGTAGAGATATCATCTTCAAAGCATAATCTAGGGTTACATTATTTGATCACAACTAGTCCATACCCACTATTACATCAATTCCTTTTATGGGCAAGCATATCAAATCTACAGTAGTGACCTACTTTCAAACTTAAGCTCAACACTTGAAAAATCCTGGTAAGTCTTTATAGACGCTCCCACGGGCATAAATACATTTATCATAGAAGGAAATTTATGAGCAAGTAGTTTTAATATCAGCACACAATAATTTGAGATATAAGAATGAGTAGCACCCAAGTCAAACAAAGCATTAATGTCTTGTCCATGAAGAGCAATTTCATCTCAAATCAAAGTTAGAGACGCACTAACCTCCTTCTAAGTCAAAGTGAACACCCTTTCAAGAATAATGAATCCCTGCTCAAATGCACCTAATCTACTCTCCTCACAATGCTTGGAAATATGGCTTATCTTGCCATATTTAAAGCACATCCAATACTTAACCATGTGGTGCCTACTGCATTTAGTGTATTGTGGGCTCCTGGTAGTGATGATAGTAGAAGCAGGCATAGCTGATGCCTAGTAAGATGACTATGGACCTCCAAAACTATTCTTCAATCCCCTATTCTTTTGGAAAGAACCCTGAGATTGAGACCCCTTATAGAAAGTCTTCTTTTTTCTAAAGCTCCCAGAATTATTGAAGCTAAATCCAAATTTCTTGCTAACTTCACCAGTAAGGCAAGCAATTGTGAAAACCTCCCTTGACTATCCCTTCTTCTCTCAACCTTTCTACATCTTCTTATAGAAATCCTCAACTTGTTACACATCTCATTGAAAGATGTGATTCCCAATAAGCCCAGCTATTATAGATATTCTGATCACCTCTTCTCTAAAAGTCTCTCTGCCTTCCACTTAGTGGTATTTGTCTCTTAGAGATAGGTGGACTATTTTGTCAGCTAATTAAACTTAGCAATGAATGTTTTCTCATTCATGTTTCCTTTCTTTAGTTAGTGAAACTCTACCTCCTTCTCAGCTTTAAAGGCAATCTA